ATGAAACAATGAGAATCCTAAAAGAAAACATAGGCAGTAAAATCTCAGTTATCATAGGTGGCAGAATTTTTGCTGATACATCTCCTAGGGCAAGAGAAACAAAGGAAAACATAAACAAATGGGACTACATCAAATTAAAAAGCTTCTGCACATCAAAAGACACCACCATAAAAATGAAAGGGGAACCCAATGCATAGGAGAACATATTTGCCAATGATACATCTGATAAGGGGTTAATCTCCAAAATATATAACGTGCTCATACAACTCAACAAAAGGAAGACAATCTAATAAAAAATGGACAGAGGATCTGAATATAAAGTACTCATACAACTCAACAGAAGGAAGACAAACAATCTAATTAAAAATGGACAGAGGATCTGAGTAGACACTTCTCCAAAAAGAACATACAAATGGCCAAGAAACATGAAAAAATGCTCAAAGTCACTAATCATCGGAGAAATGCAAATTAAAACCACAACGAGATATCACCTCACACCTGTCAGGATGGCTATCATCAATAAACAACACACAACAAGTGCTGGTGAGGATGTGGAGAAAAGGGAACATTAAATCACTGTTGGTGGGAATGCAGACTGATGCAGCCACTATTGAAGAAAACATTACAGAGTTGCCTCAAAAAATTAAAAATGGAACTGCCTTTTGACTCAGTGATCCCACTTCTAGAAATATATCCTAAAAACCCTAAAACACCAATCACAAGGAATATATGTACCTCTATGTTCATAGCATGGAGGCATAGAACAGACTGACATACCTCCATATAGGGGTGGGGGTAGGAGGAGAGATAAACCAAAGAATTTATATATTTATATACATAGCCCAGGGACATGGACCATGGGGTGGTAAAGACCTGGGGGTAGGGTGGGTAGGGGCTGGTTGTAGAGGGGTAAAGGGGGAGGGAAAATGGAAGACATCTGTAATACTGTCAACAATAAAAAAATTCGCTCTTGAAGAATATTTGATGACGTTGAAAAATGTTCACACTATATTCCAAAAACCCAGTTTATATAGTATCATTCTAACTTTATTTTGAAAATTATATATATATATATATGTATATACATGTGCAGAAAATAACAGTTTCTCTTCTCAGTTTGGTGGTTAGGGTTTTACTTGGATTGAAAATAATACTTCCTCATACTGCCTTTCTTCCTTGATTAGGTTATAAGGAGAATAAAATTTCCAAAAAGTAAGGAAGAAACTATAGTTGGACTTCTGGGTCAAATGGCTACATAAGTTCTTGCTTCAATAAGCTGATGCATTTCCATCAAATAGTAATATTGAATAACATATCAAAAGAAATGAAATACCTAGTTGGGCTCCATTGTGAGAGAGATATCTGCATGAAGCTAAATGCACAGAAGTGTGAAAGGATGAACGATCCTGAGGCCACTAGCTTGCTAAGATCTGGATGTAGGATCAGGCAGTAGCAGCTGAAAGCTTGCTTTCTCCCATATCCTATGGAATAATAGAGAATAAATAAAAGTGCTCATGTGACTCATGTGACACAAAACTTGACAATTCTTAGAAGTAAATACAGGAGAATATAGGTTTCTAGGGAGGGAAGTATTTCTTAAATAAGCCACAAAAACAGACTCATAAAGCAAGAGATTGATACATTTTGCTACATTAAATTAGAAACCTTCCATATATCAAACTGTATCATAAATCAAGTGAAAAATACAAGCCACAGTCTGGGAGAGGATATTGGCAATGCATATAAATGACAAAATAGTATTGTTGTTCAGAATGATAAGGAACTACAAATAAATAAAAATTTAAAAAAAACAATAAAAATTATGAAAAGTCATTTCACAGAAGAATAAATCAACATGGACAATAAATGTATGAAAAGATACTCACCCCCACCAGTGATCAGGGAAACACATATTATCAAAGCAACGGGGTACCATTTCACATTTTTTATGATGACTAGTAAAAATGTATAAGTCCCACAATTCCATGTTTGGGAGTCAGGGAAATGGAAACTCTTATACTTTGCTGTTGGAAGTGTAGTGTAACTTTGTTGAACTATGTTAGAAAACAGTTGGCCTTTATGTAGTAAACTAGAGGCTACTCACCCTCTCACAATCCGGGACTTGAACCAGACCCCGGAGGCACTGGCGTATTGAGAGGCCTCCATCGCGGCCCTGCCCCCACTGCGGACCCCCTGCTGTTCAGTCGTGACGGCCCCTAGTGCTTTATATATTAGGATATATAAAAAGGATATATATTTGAAAATGCATATACTCCGTAATTCCTCTCCTAGCTATATGACCTAGAGAAATTCTCATACTTATGCATAAATGGAGATGCACAAAAATGCTTAGTAGCAAAACAACTGGAAATATTCCAAATTATGATCAATAAAATGGATAAGTAAATTGTGATCTAATCATTTGTAGAATACCATATAGCAGTTAAAATGAATGAAGCAGAGCTATATGTATCTATATGAATGAGTCTCTATAATATAATAAAGAGCAGAGGAAAATTCACAGAGTAACTCTATAATGTGACACCATTTGAAGGAATCTGTAAAAGAACACCAGTTATATAATTGGATACATAAGTATGAAGAAACATTGAACTCATTACAGTGGTTAACTATAGGGTGAGGGAGAGAGATGGGGTCAGGTATTCATAGAGAAAAGTCTCAACCAGATTTACACATTTTTAAAAATAGGAGACCCACTGGCATAAAAGGCACAATGTTGATATGATAAAGCCAAGGTGTTGGGGGAGAGGGGAAGTAAATGGCTGTTCATTATATCTCCACTCTTTTCTGTATATATGAAATTATTCACAATAGAGAAAATAAGAGTATAAAGAAGATAACACAGTTTGAAAAGGCTCCCAAACCCCCACCAGCAGTTTCAAAGACTCGGTCTATGAGGAATGGCAGCATCAGACTGCAGTTCTGTGTTGAGGAGGGACTAGGAGGAGTACAGACAAGCCAGGACCTCCCACTGCAGTCCCAGAGGTAGGAGGCCCACTGCAGGCTGCTGCAGCTTCTGGTGGGGGAGGCGGGGGATGACTTTAACAGTCAGAGACAGCTAATAACAACAGAGGAAAGTGCTTCTTGCATGGACTAGAGTTGTCCAGATAATACAAGGTCTAATGGCACTTCCTAAGCTTTCCGAGTCATGGCGCACACGGATCCTATTTGTCTGGCACGCTGGAGTAAGCCTACCTACCACTCTGGGGATCCAGCTCCTCAGGTCCTACTGGTGCCTAAGAGAGCTGAGTGGAACAATGTGTCCAGGTGTATATCCCATAACATCACACAAGTCTAGCCTACTTACAGTAGACCAGTGTGCCATAACACACATCTTTTCTCATCTAAAAGTAGAGTAAATTATAGACTGTTCTAAATCAGCAGCACTTAGCATTTTGTAAGTCCATAGATGCCCCAAAGCAGTGCACTGGGAGTCATGCTATTGCTTGAATCTGTGCACTAGCAGCTGGGAAGAGCTGGAGCTAGCGCAAAAGAAATGCAGTTAACAGGGCCTGAAACTTTTCTTGTAAAGCAACTGCGGACAGGTCAAGAACCCTCTACAGTTCATACTTTGGCACCATTACAGGGTGTGGCCCAATAAGACTAGGAGGTGAACGCAGGTGACCTGGGTCGGCACATGTGGAGCAGGATAAGACAGAGAGAACCAAACAGGATGGAACAAAGGTAGTCCCTCACCAGCAGCTCAGTGGGAGAAACTGGAAGGTCACACTATTGACTGAGCCACTCTATGTATATTAGCTTATGATTTTGAATTTATGTTAAACATAGCTCATTCTATGGATAGATTAAACATTATTCAAATGCATTCATCTTTGTTCTAAAGTCCCAAGTTCAAAAAGCTCTCTCTGGTGGAAATGCAGCAAGGTCTCCTGAACTGGGTGGACCCAGCTTACATTTGCTGTCACTATCATAGATGTCAGTTACAGAGACCAGAGGAAGGAGAGCCTTTGTGCTGGGATGGAGCCTGCAGAGGGCACTTTCTCAGTCTCCTTGGAGGAGAGCCAACTGCATAACAAGCTTGATGGAAGGCAGGGATGCCATGGAACAGGACTACTGGTTACTGAAATACTGACATATCTCCATATTTATTGGCAATTAGCCACCCAGAGCCCGCTAACCCTGCCATACAACCAACCACTCTGCAACACTGGCCCCTCTCCCAGGACCCCATCTCCCCACAGACCAGTAAACCAAGTGTAAAGTCTAACACAGCAGGGGGTCACCAGGCTGTTAAATATTTTGATTATCACCAATGAATGAAGATGAATCACCACAGCTACTCTTGAATGCTCCTTCACCCTGCTGGCACCATCACTTCCTTGGATCCCAAGAGAGAACAGCATCTCTTGTTGGCCAGTTGCCTCTCAAACTAAACTAAAATCCCTTTCTGGCAAAACTAAATAGCTCTATCTCTCTCTAGGCTACATGCCAGGATTAGGGGGAAGAAAGGGCCTTTTACTGCCATGGCCACAGCTGTATTGGAGACCTCGACCTTTCCTTACGAAGGTACGAGAAAAGTCATCCTGACCCTCAGCACAGACCAAAGCTGGTCACTTTCCCAGATTAATCCTTCTTCATGAGCCATCCTCCTTCCATCCCATGCCACCTACAGGCAGTCCCCATGGCTTTAAAACTTATTTCTCAGGAGGCCAGAACACTGTTTTGACACTTGAGTTCATTGAGTGATTTGAGAACCTGACCCTGGAATATGCAGCCACATCCGAGCATTAGCCTGGCCATCAGCAGAGTCAAGAGGAGGCAGCAAGAGCTGGGAGGGAGAAAAGGCGCAGCCTGTGGGACAGAAGGTCAGGGGAGAAGGGGTGTCCACGGCACGAAAGAATTTTGCTGTCCACTCGGGGAATCAGAGGAGGCAGGCAGGAGCTGCATTTGGATAGACAATCGGACAGCACTCTGGGAGATAAGGGAAAAGCCGAAGCACAATGGCCACATCTACTCACCGGGGTTGGTTATTGTTAGGAGATCAAGCTGCCGCTGTTGCTGCAAAAGAAAACACATTGTGAGAGCCCTGATTTGAGCCAGAGACCGACTTGTGCTTAGCAGGTCAACAGGGTACATTGTAGATAAATTGGTGCTCACTCATGATTCTGCAGAGACAAAGGGAACGGGCGGCTTTCTGCTTGTCCTTGGATGGTCAGAGCTAAGTGGGTCTTTGAGGTCTTCCAGTCAAACCTGTATTGTGCTTCGGGAAAAGCCACGGGCTCATTTGCCTTTGCTCACACCTGCTACACTGGGTAAGTGGCTGACATCTTGGCGATTTTCTTTGTCTTGGGTCCTTACATCACTGTTAGTCTCCTGATACGCCTTTCTAACCAAGATATTCCTGGGCTACTTTACTTGAATTTGCTCAGCAATGCTATGACAATTCCAATTACTGATGATCCAACTATTTCTTCTCTAACTGAATCCTCATCTCTTTGTACCACACAACATTCAAAGAAAGTAGTATTTGTTGGGCACACTAAGCCAGATGGATGAGACTATATATGTTCGGAGGCAACTAGCCGGGGGTACCCCAAGGGTTGAGGTGATTAACGTTTAGGGAGGGTTGCCCCTATCACAGCATACTTGTAGGGAAACTGTTCTGGGTTGGGTGTCATAGGAACCCGAGGATGGAAAAGTGGGTACTGTGGTCGGGCGTGGGGCAATGGTGAGCAACTCTCTTAAAGACTTAAGTCCCAGTCTACCTCTTTCTTTTTCCTACATTTGATTTTACATAAATAGTACTAAAAATATGCATTTTTTTTCCTTAAAAGGGGCCCAAAAAGCTCCAATTTGAGAACCATTGCTACAGGCTCCCCATTGCAAAAGATTCTGATTATCTGGTATTTCACCTAATGGATTCTTTGCCATATTTCACCTTACCTGCATTTCCCTCTTTATCTCATCTCTCTCCAAGAATGGCATCCTGAAATTCTGCATAAGCAGAAGGGGAAGGCAGCAACAGTTTTTGAGTCCCAACTGTAAGTCAGGCACAGTACCAGATACTTTGATATATCATTTCCTTTTATACTCTTAGCAATCCTACAGAATTGGTATTGTACAGAGGAGGGACATGAGGTTCAGAGAGGAGAAATGATCTGTCAAAGACCACATCTTCATTAAATGGCAGGGCCAGAATTCAGTTAGTCTAATCCTGGCTTGAAAGACCAAAATAGGACAATGCACATAAATGACTATGACGATGCCAGGCATTTCATAGGTGCTCAATAAAAAGACATGTTTAGTTTCGATGCTGTTATTATTATATGCCATGGGACCCTTGGTTTATATAAGCTACCTCTTTCCTTTTCATTGAATTATGGAGGCTCAGAACGCAACGGTCATTGAGTCTGACCTGTTATCAAAACAGGAATCCCCTCCGTAATGTCCCTACTAGTTGTACAAACTGCTTCTGTTTCAGCCCTTTTCTTGATGGGGAACTCACTAGCTCTACTTTGAGCTGAGTTGAAACCTGCTTTCTTATAACATCATTACTTTCCAGCTGCCTCACCCCATGACAACAGTTTGGACAGACCTGTGTTTCTTCTCTGCAGAAGAAGACCTGTGTTTCTTCTCTGCAGGCTAATTATTCCCAATTCCTTTGTCCTTTCCTCACAAGACCTGGCCTCCAGTCTCCTCGCTCTTGTGGTCACCCTCCTCTTCCATTTAACTTTGACCTGTCCAAGTCAGAACTTCTTCAAGACCTCTCCACCCCTGCTTCTGTGACTTCTCAGCCTAAACGCAGGTCTGTGTCCTTGTGTGGCCTTCTTAGTTGCACATCCCTATTTCCTGCCAGCTTATAGCTCCTTCCAGTTGACATTTCCAAGCAAACAAAGCAATTCCAAGGTGCCATAGGCCCACATTGTGAGCATATATCTTCATGCTGAAATAAACACGCCCATTGGCTAGAAGGAACGCCAGAGCCAGACCGCTTCCTCCCCAAACACAGAATTAGGCCAGCAGTACAAGTTGCCTTTGCTGAGGCCAGCTGTGTGGCCGGGCACTTTCCTCATGCACGCGGAAAGCACACAACGTGTCCTCCTATTTTTCCACAGCTTGACTTTATGACTGCTGTTGGCGATGAAGATCTATTTATCTGAAAAGTGTCTATTTCCCAATTCAGAGCTATCTCTGAAGGGTGACTCTGTGTCCAGGGTCCAGCAGGGAAAAATGGAAGAACACCTGGCAGGAGGCAGACATACCTGGACATACCTCTGTGTGGCTTTGGATAACTTGCTCTATGCCTCTGGCCTCAAACTCTGAGATGAGTGAGGGAGACTGGGATACCTTCCCTGACTCCAGTCAAAGGCAACCAGACACTGTGCTTGTGGGCTCCCCCTTCTGGTGCAGAGATTCCCTGAGAATCCCTGTAGCCAGGACATGAGGGGCTCAGAGGACAGTCAGACTTTAAAAGGGGCCACATTTTAAGCTTTCTTTTATGTTTCAATTTTTATGCGTGTCTTCCTCACTAGTCGAGGGGCATCTTGAGGCTCTGGAACATCTATTGTACAGTCCATAGGGGAGCCCTCAGTAAACATTTACTTAAACTCAACTAAGCCATTCCTGAAATCCACTTTATCCTCTCAAACCCCCACGCCTTTGCTCAGGCTGGCTCCCAGCCCAGCTTAATCTCTCACCATCTTTGTGGAGATCCCTCTTACTTCTCAAGACCTCCAGGAGGTCGTCTCTGCACACCAAACCGAACCCTCTTTTCTCCCTTCCTCGGAGCAGAATGAGCATTTTGCTTTGTTCTTCCAATGCATCTTTTAAAACATACCTTTTGTAGCATGCTCTATCTTAATTGACTGCTTCCTTCTGTTTCTCACAAGGTCCTTACTCAAAGACAAGACTATGTCCTTTCATCTGAATGTCTCCTGTGCCAGCACAAAGCCTGGAGGAATGTTTGATTTCTAATTCAAATGACTTGACTACTCCTGTTAGGCAGGAATTAATGAGCATGGAAAGCAAACAAGCTCCTTCCTCTCCAGGACTTTCTCTCTGCTGTAACTTTGGGGGGTCTTTCCTTTATAATTTTGCTCTCACCGTCTCTGCAGCTAGCAGTGCTGCCTATCCACCTCCTCTGGGAGATCTTCTTCTTTGACTCCCTCCATCCACAGGATTGCTGTCTCTTCTTGACCCCCACAGCTCCTCCTACTGTCTGTGCCACCTGTCCTGTAGTGATGAATTAGGTCTGGTCACAAGCCCATTTAACCTAGTTCCCTGACATATGTGTGCACCACCTAGTGGCTCAAGCAGATAAGTGTAGGCTATTGTTTTAACCCGTACCTCTTATTAGTTAGATGGAATTGAAAAATCTGCATGCTATATATGCAAAAGAAAAAGTGTATGTTTGAGAACCACTGTGTAATAATTTTTACCTAAAAAACTGAGATATCCAAGTAATTCCTTTACAGTTCTTAAAAAAATAAAAGGAATCAAATGAACGGGAAAATTTCCTAGTCTACCTAGTATAATCATTTGAGATTGCCAATGGAAACTCTATGGCATTTGTAAAAATAGGGCACATGATTTGTGGAATTTTATCAATAATGTACAATCAGTTTTATATAGAGGGAGCATATTAGATGTAAATAATTACCAAATTGTTATAATTAGTTACCAACGGAGAGATAAGGGTCTTTTATATGGAGATACAGTATCAAACTGCCTAGAGGTAAAATATGCGATGTAAGATGGAGGAGATGAAGTCGATGATCTAGGAGGTTTGGTGGCTGATAGGGCCTGAGGGGTGGGGGTGGGGGAATGAGAGCTTAGCAGGTGAACCACTAGGTAACCAAAAGCTACAGTACAAGGAAGGCAGGGCCTTCACATGTGTTGTAGCGTGTGTACACGTGGTATGTGTTTTGAGGAGTGGGGCATTTCTCTTCAAGTGAAGGAACTCCACACCTAGACAGAAATGTGTCCACGTGTGCCAATATGGTATTTCATAGAGTCTTGGAGGAGGGTGGGTATGCCAGAGTGGGTTAGTTAGGTGTTGATGTGTGACCTCCTGGCTGTGTATGAGCCCTGCACCCAGCCTTCCCTAGTAGGAGTGGCGCCCCATGGACATTATGAAGAAACCCATTTCTGTGCTTGAGCACCATAGGATGAATGCTCCATCATGACTCCATAAAGGCCATAGAGGGTTGGGTGTTTCAAAGCCAATAGGAGCAATCTCTTAATTTGATGCCAGCTGGGAAGGCCAGAGCATCTACAGTGGATGCTCGAGGAACTGTCTGCCAGCATCCTTGCTCCAAGAGTCATTCATATTCCCCCATGCATCCAGTGGAAGCTCTTTCATTAATATAATGTCACTGACCTCTGGCCCGAGAATGAAAGTCCTGAAAGGTGAGCCAATTAGAAACCTCATCCACGAATTTCAGATTTTTTATGGGTTCAATTTATTCTCAATGAAAACTATGATTATTGTCCTAAGTTAAATAACCTATCTTTAAATATTTTATAATTATGAAAACAAATATGCTTATTTTTGTCATTTTCCAAATTTTTAGAAAATTCAGTAAGTGAAATTTAATAAAATCCCACTAATAGAAGAGAACCATAGTTAGCATTTTGGTGTATTTTCTTGTCATCTTTCTTGCTTGTGTATATTTAATGAGATCATAGTTATATATAAAAAATGAAGTACGTTTTAATCGTATGCAATATTATGTTTTTGTGTGTTTTTTTTTTTGGTCCCAGGCCACGTCTTTGTTTTGAAGTATAAGGGTGTAAGTCACATTTATTTACTGTCATAACTGATATGTTTGCTCTCACTGCTGTGATTTTGTTTCTAGTCCCTTTTTTCAAGGAAGGTAGCATTAATCAGCAAGACATCAGGAGGGTACCACTTGGCTCTTTCATCACAAGGAGGCAGTTTGAAAGGCCCAGCTACTGCAGCCTAGTGATGTAGACAAAGGCATGTGAATCTGGGGAAACCTCTTCTTAGAAGATACTCTTCTTCATCCATGAATCCCTCTGACTGCAGTTACAGAAAG